TTATAGGTTATATAAATCATAGCAGCGAGATTTTTTTTCTTACATTAAATTCTTTTTTAGTCAGTCTAACCTCAGGTCAGGGTTGATAATTGTTGCATTGTTTGTCCAGACAATTCCCTTACCACAGTCAGTTTCAAGCTGCATAATTTAGTTAAGGTTTCAAACATGAACTTTCTAATCTTCAACTCGGTTAATTATTTTGCGTCATTTCCCCTTTTCACGGCATGTTGGTTGGTGTGTATTGTATTACCATTGCTCTGCTCCATAAAACTATTAGTGCAATCTGCATTCTGTTTCTCTATTGATTATAGTTGCTGACTGGAAACTTTATGTTGCAGCTTTGTATTTTGATATTTGTAGGGACAAACGGTGAGACATACTTCAATACTGGAGCTCTAGTGTCCTGTGTTCAAAATTTTCCCAAAAACCGGGGTCCAATAGTTGGGATCCTAAAAGGATTTGCAGGGTTGAGTGGTGCAATTTTGACACAAGTTTATACAATGATCAATTTCCCTGATAAAGCATCACTGGTTTTTGTGGTTGCTGTTGGGCCATCAATTGTGATTGCTGCTGTGATGTTTCTTGTGAGACCTGTGGGGGGTCACAGACAAGCCAGGCCATCTGATAATTCAAGTTTTCAATTCACTTACAGTATTTGCCTTATTCTGGCCGTATATCTCTTTGCAGTTTTGATTCTCCAGGACTTGACAAGTGTGAGCCAGAAAATGATAACCCTGTTAACTGTTATTTTGGTTGTCCTCATTTTGCTTCCAATTATAATCCCAATTATTCTGGTTTACTCCTCGGGGTCAAGACCTCAACTAGAGGAGAGCCTTCTCACTGAATCAGAGAAACAAGAACCCTCTCAAACTTTGGAAAGGAACATGTCTATTTTTAGTGAGCTTGAGGATGAGAAACCTCCAGAGGTTGACACACTGCCACCATTTGAAAGACAGAAAAGGATTGCTCATTTGCAAGCGAAACTATTTAAAGCAGCTGCAGAAGGTGCTGTTAGGGTAAAGCGTAGAAAGGGCCCGCGCAGGGGGGAAGATTTTACTTTACTTCAGGCGCTTGTGAAAGCAGATTTCTGGCTCATGTTCATCTCACTGATATTAGCATCTGGTTCTGGTTTAACAGTGATCGACAATCTTGGGCAGATGTCTCAGTCTCTAGGGTATTCCAATACCTCCATATTTGTCTCTATGATCAGTATCTTTAATTTTCTTGGCCGCGTTGCTGGTGGATACTTCTCTGAAAATATTGTGAGGTATGCTAAGGGTTTCTAATCCCTCGTTTTTTAGCAAATACTGTGTTTTTAGGATTAAGTATTCAGGTCATCTTTTCTTCTAAAGAACTTTTAGTTCAGTTTTTCAATATACACCATCCATTTCTATACAGTTATGATTTTTCACGGTTTTTAAGTGGAAACTTGTAGGAGTAGTGATAGTTATGAGGAGAGTAAATTGGTTGAAGTAAGAAAGGGAAAATAAAGAAGTAAGAGTATTTATGTACTTCGATTTGATGGTATTTTCCGAAATAAGAATGTGGAGCAAGTGTCTTCTCAAAAAGTAATACGGAGCAAGTAATAGAGAATTGAGGAGTATAATTTAGTATTTAGCTGTATACTAAGTAAATGCCTTTTCTTTTTAATGATTACCAGGAATTATGCCTATCCAAGGCCGGTGGCAATGGCTGCTGTTCAAATAGTTATGGCAATGGTGCTATTCTTTTACGCCATGGGCTGGCCCGGTTCAATTTATGTACTGTCGATCATGATAGGCCTTTGTTATGGGGCCCACTGGGCAATTGTCCCAGCCGCAGCATCTGAACTTTTTGGATTGAAAAGCTTTGGAGCTTTATATAATTTCCTGACCCTGGCAAGTCCTGTAGGTTCTTTGGTCTTCTCCGGTGTAATAGCCAGTGGTATCTATGACTACGAAGCAAATAAGCAACAAGAACTCAGAAGGAAAACTCTGGGACTCGGAATAACGTCACTGGCAGATGAGGAAGCCCTTGTTTGCACTGGCACTATATGTTATTCCCTCACTTGTGCAATCATGTCTGGTCTCTGCATTATTGCATGTGTCCTCAGTTTGATTGTTGTCTACCGCACAAAGAGAGTTTACGCTCAGCTGTATAACAAAGCCCGTAACTGAAATTAGAATGTTACGGTATGGTCTCTCTCTAGTTTGATCGCGTCTCGCCGTCTCTTTGAATATCTGACTTCACTTGCTGTGCGGGTCATTCCATAGTCGTACGCAATCAGAAGGGAAAAGATGGTCAGTCAATACCAGATCTCCATATTTTTTCATGCGTAGCATGAGATATCCATGCATGAACAGCTTATTTAAAATTTTTATTGTAAACCATACCATCTGTGAATGTCTTGAAATAATTTCCACTATATTATTTTTTCCGACAAGTCTTGTCAAGACCTGGGAAAAAAGTTGATCATTTATTCATGGTATTGTACCATGAACTATAAATGTTACATTGTTAATTGGAATCAAGAGGTAGCATGTATGTAGCTTCTAGATTGGTTCTCCAAATACATCACTTCAGTGTGATCCTTATTCAAAGTTCAAACTCAATTGTAATAAATATCACAAATTCTTGTCTTTTTTTTCGCACATCTATTTTATTCTACTACTAATTTCTCAATTCTCATTCTCTCTCTACTACCGTCAATCTCATTTTACATCTTCATACTCATAATTATAGAGTATATATTTATGTCTAATATCTATTTATACATTCATATAAATAAATACGTATTTTAACCTCTGTTCTAAAAAAAACGTTCTAGGCGCCCGACTAGTCCCCGCCTAGGCGCTAGGCGGTGGCCAGTCGCCCCGATTTTCGTCTAGGCGCTCCGACTAATTGGTTTGCCGCCTATGTGAATTAGTCGCCCGCCTATGGTGCCAAGTTGCCCGCCTAGAGCGTCTAGTCGGCCGCCTAGGCTGTCTAGATTCGCCGAACATTACTTTACTTTTTAATTTCAATTTTCCAAGTGATATACGTATTTTAACTCTAGCCATGAATATAAAGAAATGAAGTTGTAAATTAACATAATAAAGTTGTATATATTCCTACATTTTATCATTATTTATATTTATAACATTATGAAGTTAAGTGATTAGTTAACATATACTACGTATGATCAAATGTGATAATTCTATCTTTCATGTTTGTTAGTGTATGTATATGTATGTATGTATTTTATACACACAAAATACAATATTACTTCTCCGTCCCGAAAAGGTTGGCCAAAGTTGACTTTCACGTGGATTAATAAAGTAAAAAATATGTGGTTGAAATTTGCGCAGAGGAGAGAGAATTAACGTTAAGTACATATTCCTTACTTTAAATGGAAATGGCCAATCTTTTTGGGACATCCAAAAAAGGAAATTTGGCCAACCTTTTCAGGACGGAGGAGTATCATATTTATGCAAAAATATAGATAAAAATGCAATTTGTATGTCTCCGATTGGTCCCCGACTAGGCACTAGGCGCTGGGCTAGCGCCTTTTAGAACATTGATTATAATTATATCTACTATTTCATTTTATACCTTCATTACATTTTTAGAGAGAGAGAGAGAGAGAGAGAGAGAGAGAGAGAGAGAGAGAGAGAGAGAGAGAGAGAGAGAGAGAGAGAGAGAGAGAGAGGTTTTTGACCTCCAATTATTGAAACCGTGACCGGGATTGGACTGGAACCGAGTCCAACCCTAACTATGATTGTTGTATATGTCACACTGAAGTTGTGAAGTTGTATGTTCTGGGAATCAAGGAAAATTGGAAATTATAATGTTATGTTTAAGTTGCTTATCTTTTTCAGCCCAATAAGCTAGAGTCAGTTCAAGATACATTAGTGATAAACTTGAAAGTTTAGAGGCTCTCCGTAAATCCAGAGGCAACAACAACAACAACAACAACATCTAAGCCTTAATCTCAAAAGATTTTGGGGTCCACTAACATGAATCGATCCATGATATCAAATATCAATGCCAAAAGAGAAGACAAACAAAAAGAAAAATTAATAAAGTAAAATAAAATGGATAAGATAACAATAAAATAAGAGCATAAGAAAGATAAAAGAGCATAAAAACTAGAAGATAAAATTGACATAAGAACATAAAAAGATAAAGAAGATAGGCAATAAAGAAAAGGAGAGAATAGAAAGACATAGAAACTCTTACTTTCAGCTAGGTCGTTCATTTTCATTTTCATTTGGGTTTTCGTGTAAAATCCGTGTTCTTTCATTTTCATATATCAATCCAAGCATAGTGTTTTCGGGCTTTAAACAGCGCTGTATTCACACCACGTACCAAATTAGAGATGGTAAAAACATGGAGACTAAAAGGATTAAGTCGATTAACATATCACGTAACAAGTTTTTTCAATCACAATTTGACTAGAAATACTTTACAATAGAACATACAAACTCCTACTAAACTTCTCAAAGTGGAAAGCAAATTGTTCACTCGCTTTACCTAAAGTCCTAAACTGGTATATCATTTTAACACAAACTAAATCATGATCCCTCAAAATCATATTGAAATACTAGGCGGCAATTGCATTCTGGATCTTGTAACTTGCAAGTATAGGTCCTATAAGAGTTGGCAAAACTACTTCCATTCGAGCTTCTTTTGACAATTCAGGCCTTTATAATTTACAATGACAATATTTTCATGAAACCTCAAAAATCACCGAATATACATTTCATGGAAGCAGCTGTTGTTGGGCCATTCTCAGAGTATATTACTACATTGCCGTACATAATTTTCAAATTTTCTTTCGTTGTACCCAAAAAATTAATTAATTTTCTGAAATCATGGCCAAGTGACAACGTGGCTCGTTCTAATAAATCAGCAAATGCTTAGAATATGTTTTTAAGAATCAATATTTACCTTTTCGTCATTGTAAACGGTGAATCAAAATAAATTCTACGTATATTTTTTCTTTCTAAACTGTAAATAAAGGGAGATCTGGCATGACATCATTTTAACTTAAATAGTACGGAGTATATGTTATGATATTTAAAAAATCACAACTAAATTATAAACATTAGACCAGTTTTATCAATGTATGTTTCCATTACATACCCCTCTCTAGTCCCTTTGTCCGCTTGTATGTTTCCAATCACATCAATGAAAAATCAGTAGTCGTTTTAGCCCACAAGTCCATAACCTTCCTTTTGAAGTGGAGGTGGAAGGACAATATGTCAATATGATGTCTAAAATTACAAGCGTGAGAGCTTACACAGTTACACCAATGAAAACATCACTTACGATAGCATTCTAAAAAAAGACGCCTACTTCTGGTCTGTCAATTTACCCAATGGAAGACCATATAAATTATGTTTCAAAAATCAGTGTCTACTTCGCAGCAGCAACCAGTGCGGACCTTGCCCTCGTGAAAGCAGCAACCAATGATCCAAGCTGTAACTTATCTTTGCAACCAACACTCAATCTATATCTGCAAAACCAACAAACACATGTACATATATTTAGAATATACCAACCCCACAGCCAATGAATTTACACAACTGGAATTCTCAGTTACTCAATTATTGACTGATGGAGAATTGTCCACATCTCCTCATGCAGTTTTACGAAGTACGTAGATCATTGAATTATTCCTCAATTGAATGACAAGGGGACCATAGATTTAAGAACTAAAGGAATATAGCTATTGGAAACATTAGCTGACCTCAAAATCTTTTAGGATTAAGGCTTGGATCTTGTTGATTAAAACTATTGGAAACAGCTAGGAGTACAAAAGGAACTTGTTTTACTAAATTTACGATAATATACAGAATGGATGTATATAATTTAATTTTGACAACCTTTTGAATATGGCCTGTGAAAAAGCAAATAAAATTTCCAAGAAATTCAGACATTGTTGATTTTAGTTGTCAATGGATATGTAAAAAGATCACAACGTATATAGAACTATAGAAGGGTACTAAATTCCACTTGACTATTGGAAACATTAGCTGACCCCAAAATCTTTGGACTAAGGCTTGGATCTTGTTGATTAAAACTATTGGAAACAGCTAGGAATACAATAGGAACTTGTTTTTAGTAAATGACGATAATATACGAAATGGATATATTTTTTTTTAATTTTGATAACCTTTTAAATATGGCCTCGAAAAGCAAATAAAATTTCCAAGAAATTCAGACATTGTTGATTTTAGTTGTCAATGGATATGTAAAAAGATCACAACGTATATAGAACTATAGAAGGGTACTAAATTCCACTTGAGTAAAACTGCTAGCTGTTGTACCAGCAACCTTATAACGAATGAGTGGGGATACTTTCTCTAAATCCGCACACACTTCCTAAATGAGCTTAATCCATGTAATAAAATCTAGAGAGAAGTTGACAAGACAAAACCAGATGGATACATACTCAATATCAGCCATCTCGTTGATCAGTTGAATACGCACATCTGGTGGCATCTTGATCATGAAGACAAACCTGATGTTTAAACATCCAAAGGTGAGCTCAAGCAAATTTATACAACAGTCAAACGTTAATATGAACTTACATGGATACTTCTCGTACAATATCTACCAAAGCTAATCCTTTCCTTGTTTTACTTTCCGATATCCCTAGCCATAATAGTTAAGGGATACAAACAAAATGCTATAATAGTGAAAAAATAAAGGCATACACACATAAGCAATGGATACGTTTATAGCTTTCAGTGAAGGTCTCATTTAGAAGCCAATGAGCAATTTGGTTGATGTCTTTTGGCAATGGATGTCCAGTGCACAAATATACGGCCTCTTCTGTAATCTGCTGAGAAGCCATATGTGTTGCCTGCATAGAGAAAATAAGGGAAGTGAAAAAAAATGTCAATGTACTCTGTGAAAACATAAATAAATGATACACGATTTCTGAAACTGTAGTGACCAGAGAGAATAAGGGAATTGAAGAAAGCAATTTATCAAGTACTACTGAATTCCCAACGGAGACATACAAGACAAGATAACTTGAAAGGCAGAAATATGGCAATATAAACATAACGAGTTTCTTTCTTTGGCACGGGATTTATAACACAAAATTTGCTTTTTGCAATATATTAGGCCAAACTGGCATTAGTGAAGTGTACAGTGTACACAAAAGATATGCCATGAGCTATGATTTATCGAGTACTTTTAGATGGGAATTCAGGATTGTGAAACATACAATTTAAAATACAACACGGAGATGGAGAAATTAGAAGAGCTCGTGGTAAAAATGTGACCAGTAAAGCCTACACGCAGCATGTCAATTCTTCATATTCTACCAGCGAATCTCATACAGATATATTACATACGTAGTATTAGATTGCATAGGAAATTAAGGAAGAGTAAAGTAGCATAATAGACTATAGGTAAAAGAAAAGATGCCAGCATGCAATCTGTAGGCAGAAATTGTTTTCATGTAAAACGAATTAACTAGGGGCATATAACTATAATTGGAGGGATGTAACTGTCACTAATATAATTGTAATTTAGTACTGTAATATTGGTCACTTTCAGCATGTAAATGTGGGATATAATTGTGATGTTAGTCAGTGTGACAATGGTCACTGTAGCATTTCTCACTATAATGGGTCATCTGGGTCTACTAAGGGTGCAATGGTCCTTTTTGCCTTATAGTCACTTTTTTGTCCATGAGTTTATTTTTAGTAATATTGGTGTCCTAATCCCTTTCAACTTCTTTTTTCATTTCGTTCATGTACGTTGTTTTTGTGATCAATACACATGGAGTTTATTTTCATGAATAATTAGCTCACTACATTGCACCTTTAAGATCATAAGTTTATGGTTTTACTTTTAACTTATTTCAGGTTTACTTTACATTTTCACAGTTTTACTTACGACAGCTATCTGTTTTTCATATCTATATTTTTTTTACATTTTTAGTACTAAATTTTCTTATTTTTTTTGTTTTACATATGTTGCTTTGATGCATCACTGTTTACTATTATTCCTCCTAAGCTCTAGCAAAGAACAAGAAGTTGTGGCAGTGCCATATGCCCATATGTATGAGAAAAGTTCATAAGGGCTAATATAGAAGTGCTTCTACAATTAACCTGCACTAGAAGTAATCACAGGAATAATGAAAATGTGTAGTTTTGATATTTGATAGTGCACACATGCATATAAAAGTGCAAATTGATGTAATTTTAGTGCAACGCCAATTTGCATTCAAAGTATCAATTCAAACTGGGAATGGTATATCATTCATATAGCCGTGCTTCGTTCGAATTGGTAGTTAGTTGGATTGGTTGTGATATTTACAATAATGTGACCATTTCACTTTCATAACTTCAAATCATTAGATCTCTAGTGTGGACAGCCACAATCACTTCTCACTTTCCAGATAAGCCTACCTTCTGGCGAAAACTAGACCTGATTTGTGTGTCGGATATGGATTCAATAGGAACCAACTATGAAGTATGAAGAGATACTTTTTCATAACTAAAAGTTAACTACACACAGATTTCTATGAGATATTTGATCATGACCATTTGATCTTAAATCTAACATGTCTGCTAGGATACTTTTTGTGGTACCTATTGAAACCAATCTCATATACCTTTTTTTAGAAACCACTCTTTTGTGGTGCCAAAAGAACACAACATACCTACCCTCATACAGGAGATCAATATTCTATTTGAAAGGTTCTAAAGAGACAACTAGAAAAGACAAAGGCTGAATGAAATTAACCTGCAAAATGTTTAAAGCCTTTCTCATGTCACCATTGCTAAGCTGCACAAGTGCTTTCAAACCACACTCCGGTACATCAAGTCTGCAACCAAGCAAAATATTTAGAACAATCTTAAAAGGTTCATATTAATAACTATCCTAAACTATTTCAGTACAAGTGGAGTGAGGGCTCTGTAGTCTGTATCACTGTATATACTGTCATATACTTTAGCCTATATATTTATATTCAGTAATCAGTAATATCAGGTAGAAATACACATGATGTAAGTAACAATTTGAAAAGCAGTTCTCCTTCATCTAATCCTCAACTGGGGGGACTCATACTCTCGCTCATCACCTTGTTCCTAGTTTTGTCCACCCTAGTTTCGCCACACATCCATCTCAACATTCTCATCTTTGCCACCAGAATTTTGTGAACATGTCAAAATCTACTGTACAATCATCTTAGTCATGCACACCACATATGTCTAAAAACTATCCAATATAGCTTCCTTTTAAGTTAAGTACAATTTTTGATCGCACAAAATTTCTGACGCATTTTCCCACTTTGTCTATTCTACATTATTCAATATTAATATTTTATATCTAGATTCATTAATCCAAAAGAACGATGGCTTTGGAACTAGCATAGACCCGGGTACTTGGTATTAAATTGGCTAGTAACATTGTCCATGACTAACGCAAATATGTATAGGGTTAAGGCACATCCTTGATGAAGTCCTACTACAATTGGGAATACCATAAATTATTCCAGTATCATAAAAATAGCCATAATTCCCTTGTGCATATCCAAAAGACTTATTCAGGCACTCCAACATACATTTTTTCAAGTCAAACATCATGTACGGGTACTTTTGATTTCTTTGCTATTGATCAATTAGGCTTTGCAATGCAAAGATAGCTTCCATTGTTGATCTCACAGCATAACACCATATTGGTTGTGTAACACGCTTGTACTTCTTTTGCCTCCTTTACTACTTTTAGATTTCCCTAGGATGTCAATGCACTGGTTATACACTGATAATTGTTGAACTCCCTTTACTTGTAGGACTACATCTTGGATTTGTCAATTATGTTAGGGTAGAAGTCCTACTCATGGTAATCTGGTAGAATTGGGAGAAGCCGTAGGTATTATTGCAGGTCAATCAATTGGAGAACCTGGTACTCAATTAACATTAAGAACTTTTCATACAGGCGGAGTATTCACAGGGGGTACTGCAGAACATGTCCGGGCCCCTTTTAAGTTTTAATGGAAAAATAAGATTTCATGAGGATTTGGTTCATCCGACATGTACACGTCATGGACATCCCGCTTTTATATGTTCTATAGATTTGTATCTAACTATAGAGAGTGAACATACTCTACATAATATCAAAATTCCTCTTAAAAGTGTTCTTTTAGTTCCTTGTTATTATGAGAAGATCACTTCCAATAGTCTCCTAAACCAATTTATCTTTTTAGGTTCCACCATCTAAAACTAGTAATCAACGTTTTCTCTAGGATTTCCCACCAATCAATCCTTCTTCCAATTTATTAGTTTTTTGTTATTCTAGAGAGTTTGTTCTCCTACGTTATTAGGTGCTCCTAAGTCTTCCTAAATAGTTCATGTATAGAAATTAGGTTGTATGCTTCTGAACATAACCATACTTATTGCATATCTTAACCAATAACCATGGTCTACTCTTTTGTAAACTACATTGTCCCATCTTATACGCCCAATCAAATCTCCTTTTACAATAAAACATTTCGACTAGCGGTATTCCTTGCATCAAACCCTCTAACTCCTCAAATATTCTTGTAATTCGATTTCCTGTGCTGGCTTGAGGAATATAGACCCTAAAAATATTCAAAAACTCTTCTAAAACTACTTCAAGAGCCATGATAATATTCCCACATCTGGTGACATTGGCTACATCATCATTTAGGTATTTCCTTTTCTCAAGCCATCTCCCTAAGCCATTTGGTTCATATAAACATAGTATGTTTATTCCACCACTAACCATAGTATCTGCAAGCTCGGTAAGCTTTCCTATTAAACTCCATATAATCCAAGTCCCTGCTCTGATTTTCTATTCTAGACTAGCTTCTTTATGCACCTCATTGATATGTATTTGACAATCCTTTCACATTTATCATCACACCGGGTGCCAACAGAATGGTACTTGCTCACTAAAAACTGCATTTGGACAATATAACACATAAACAGAGTATTGGGGCAATACAGCATGTTGCAGGTAATTTCATTTTTTCATGTTTCCATAGTTAGTTTGGATCTGACCAGCTTTACTCTGGCCGTCGGATACCTAATGCATCCCTCCTTTCCCTTAGGGCCGCTGAAGAAAATAAATCGAGTTCTATATATTCAGGACGCCATACTTTTCATAACAAATAATTTATCATATATCAAATGCATATGCTGAATGAGAAAAAACAGAAAACAGCATGAAATTACACTTCAAATGTAACTTTTATCAATCATAACTTTTTAGAAACAAAAGTTCATGTCTCTACGGCATCAATGGAATCTTAGAGTCAATAAAAAAGAGATAACTTAATTCTAAAGTAACAAATACACAAACTTAATGTACCGCCATCAAAATTAAATTCATTGATTTTTTGAAAAAAAATAGAAACTAAATTTCTAGTGTCCACATCATTCAGAAAATCCACTATTTCCCACTGGAAGATAAATATAGAGGATTAATTAAAGCCCCTAGATGTGATAAAGAAACATTCATAGTAGCGTAGGAATGGAAAGTAAATACATAAGGATGAACAAAACCTAAAGCATGCTCATTATGAAAAGGGAAGACTGAATTACGGAAACATTGTGATTGCTTTTGCATATATAGCTAAATCATCAATGTTGATGGGAAAAAGAACTCATTACTAGCTCATATAGCATATGCACATGAGCTTGCCCTAATAAATTAGCAGAAACTATTCTGGTGGTAACTGATTAGTGTCACATTAGTTGCAAAGGATAAGATAATTCCCAAAATATTTGTGAAGGGCTAAGAGGAAACCCATAAAGCATGTAAATCCGAGTTGCTTTGAAACTCGCCTTTCCAACTCGATAACATGTTTAAGCCTCTCAGTTATGTGAACAGCATCAAGAGGTGCGAACCGGAACCGTGTACACCGTGATTGTAGAGCGGGGATCACCTTGTTGACATTGTTGCAAATCAGTGCAAACCTTGTATTTTTTGTATATTTCTCAATCACTGCAAAATTTGAGTTAGTGTCACCAATTCCAATAAATGGTGTGTCAATTCAAATTAGTCCATGAGATAAAAAAGTGGACTTCTTGCCTCGGCGCAGAGCAAACTGTGCATCCTTTGTCATTGCATCAGACTCATCCAGCAGCACCAATTTTACAGGGAACTTTGCACTGCCCAAAAGACAATAATTGCAGAGAACTATGAAGCAAAAATAGAAGTTTTATGCAGCTAATCACTGCATCATGAGAACAATGTGTAAACATGTCTGAACGTATCCTCTCTGTGATCCTAACAATGTCACTAAGGGATCAAAAATATACTCTGGCTAAAAGAATTACCCAAAGGAGATGCTCTGAGTACTCGCAAAGTCCTGAATCTGCTGCCTGACAACATCAATCCCACGATCATCAGAAGCATTTAACTCTAAAACCATATTGTGCATCTGTGCTCCATAAAGCTTCCGAGCCAAGGCAAGAATTGTGGAGGTCTTCCCAGTCCCTGGAGGACCATACAGCAGCAGATGCGGCAACCTGTTGCCACTCGCAAGCCTGTCAACTTTTCGTAACATTACTAAATATCAGCTAAGTGCAAGCTTTCCGAAATGCTCGTTAGAATGCCATACTCAGTTACACGAAGTATACATCATGATATCATATACTCTTTATTTACTATAAAAACAGACACGCACGCACAAATATGACTCAAAGTGTGAAATATTACTGGTTTCAACGATGTCCTGATGGGCGGCGACGTCCGAGAGAGACTGAGGACGATACTTTTCGACCCAAGGCGTAGCTTTAGAGTCGACCGCGAAGACTATACTTTTGCCCTTGTTGAGCTTTGAATTGGCGTTAACGTCATTGGGTTCATCGTCGATGTCCATAATTGAAATCACCTCCGCCATTTCCCCTGATAAATGTATATCTATATAGTCTTTCGAGTAGCAATCGGAACAAAATACGTTAGGATTGGTCGGACGATAGCTTTTCTACACCGTGAATGATGAACCCTAGCTGGAGGTTTTAGAATTCGTGCCAGAACTAGAAAGAGTGCTGGGTTCCGTACTTCGAATTCCGTTTTCGGGTCAATTTATTGGCGCCAATATTATATGGTGACCCGTTAGTTATTGAGCCGTGACTCATGGTGTACAATTTTGTCAAATTGATCCTTAAACTTTCATAAAAAAATCAATTAATTCATCTATACGAGACTATGTCTGGTCGTCGTCATTTGAGGCGGTTCTCGGTTGAATTTTTTGATGGATTTTTTTTAGCATCTTATTCATCAAGTCTAGTTTATTCATAACAAATTTCAGCTAAAAATTTAATCAGGAGCGCATTCAAATTAATTCGAGAACGCAAAAATGCGCAGTTATCTTCAAGAATTAATTTGAATGTGTTCCCGATTGAATTTTTAGCTGAAATTTGGTATGAGTAAACTAGACTTGGTGAATAACATGCTCAAAAATTTTCATCAAAAAATTCCACCGAGAACTGCCCCAAATCGCGACGGCCGGACAAAACATCTTCTAGAATGACTTAATTGACCTTTTTATGAAAGTTCGAGGACCTATTTGACAGTTTTCCCTAAGAAATAAATCCCACATTTAGAGAAAACTATTAAATAGGTCTTCCACTTTCGTAAAAGGGCCAAATAAGTCCTTATATAGGAGGCTATGTCCGGCCGTCGCGATTTGGGGCGATTCCCGATGGAATCTTTTGATGAAATTTTTTGAACATCTTATTCATCAAGTCTAGTTTACTCATACCAAATTTCATCTAAAACTTCAATCGGGAAAGAATTCAAATTAATTCTTGACGATAACTGTGCATTTAAATGCGCAGAATTAATTCTTGACGATAAATGTGCATTTAAATGCACAGTTATCGTCAAGAATTAATTTGAATGCTTTCCCAATTGAAGTTTTAAATGAAATTTGGTATGAGTAAACTAGACTTGATAAATAAGATGTTCAAAAATTTTCATCAAAAAATTCCATAGGGAACCGCCCCAAATCGCGACGGCCGGACAGAACCTCCTATATAAGGACTTATTTGACCTTTTTATGAAAGTTAGAAGACCTATTTGACAGTTTTCCCTTTAATTTATTTACCTAAAGTCTAAGTCAACTAAAGTAGTTTTAAAAAAAAAACTGAAACGTCACATGTTATCTTCACCAGGCTGGTAGAGAACGACACTGGAGGACGGTGAGGACTGCACTTGAGGACTACGACGAGACTGGCATTGGGGGACTACGGCTATGACTGCACTGGAGGACTACAATGAGGACGCGGGACGATGAAAGTGGTTACATAAGTGCTATCCGCAACGCTAATTCCCCTATTTACTGGTAAGATATGAAATCCATAATTAGTCATTGCAAACTTTCAGATTTCAAACATAACTTTGAAAAGGAGTGTTGGTTTTGTTGTATAAAAAATGTCCTACGCTTGGTAATGAAATCCACACTCTGCACAATTGAATCACTACTTATGAACTCTAGCCCAGGATGTGTTCGATAAGGGGGTGTTTGGAACTGATTCTGCTTCTGCATCTTTTTTTAAAAGCAGAAGCATAATCAGAATCAGTTTTCAGAATCTGGTCTCCCCCAACTTCTAAAAAATGATTCCATGAGTAAATTAGAGCACCAGAATCACTTCAGCACTTTCACCCAAACACTTCGACTTCTGTTTCTACTCCCTGAAGAAGCATAAGCAGGTTTAAAAATCAAATCCAAACACCCCCTTATAAGGTAACATTTTCATTTGTGTTCTGTTAGGTTATAAAGGGACAGTGGACCGTGTGTCATTGACATTCTGGCATGGTGGCTTATCCAGAAAACAAAATAATGAATTAGTTTATTTGAATGGGAACAGTAGGACCTTTGAGGTAGACCCTGACGAAATTTGTTGGTTTTGGTTAGAGGAATTGGCAAAAAAAAAAAAGTGTGGCACTTATAATATAATTGATGAAATATTTATCTCATTCTTTGGCTCACCTTGGATAAGGGGTTAAGAAGAGTTTATAATGATAAAGAGGTTTTAGAGATGACTCAGATATTGATGAGGTTTAAATCCTTATATTTTTATGGGTTGCATAGCATTGATAAAGAAGATTTAGAGTTGTTGTTACCCTCAACCCTAACAACAGAAATATCTACGCAACAACCAATTAATATTCAAGGTGCACCACCTTTTGATGGTGGTGGTGAGGGTCAACAAGATTATGATTGTTCTAGAGTGGGTGCTAAAAATGTAGTTCAGAATTATGACGATGGCGATGATGAGCAAGGTTCTATTGCGGATCTTGATGATGATGAAGATGAACCAAGTAACTATTTTTTGAGGGCGATGATGAATACTTGACTAGTGATGATATAAGTGATGATGAATATATAACAGCCAAGGAAAGGGTAAAAGACTTCAATAACAAGAGTTTGAATTTTCAAAGCAACTTCGGAAGGAAGCGGCAGAAGGTAAGCTCGGTGTTCAGACTGAACCACCTAATTGTGGTGCAGAAACAAGCACACTGGACGTAGACGAAGGATGCTTCAGTGACTATGAAGGCAGTGAGGAGGAAATCAATACTCCTCCTGATACATCTGAAGAAGATTTAACTGATAATAGAAACAAGAGAATAACTTGTGATCTAGTGCCTACAAATACTGACTTTTCAGTGTTTCAATGGAAGGTCGGACAGAGGTTTCCCACTCGAGAGGATTTTAAGAAGCTTGTAGCTAAATATGCCATCTTGCAAGGTAGGAATCTCAGTTTTGTCGTGAACAACAAAAACAGACAACAAAGACTAGGGGTTAGATGTGTACAAGATTGTCCATTTAGGTTGTACTCGTCTTGGGATTCTAGTATAGCAACATTCTTAGTGAAGACAATTCAAAAGAAGCACAAGTGTCATTGTAATATGAAAAAGAACAAACAATTCAAGTCTACATGGGTTTCTCAACAATTTCTTGACGTTTTCAAGGCAAGACCACACTGGCTAGCTAAGGAAATCATTGAGACAGTAAAGAAGGCTTACAAAGTTGTCATTAAAAGGGACTTTGAATATAAATTTAAATACAATGCACATAAGTTGCTCCATGGATCGACGGAGGACCACTACAAAAAGCTTGAGAGATATTTGGAAGCTTTGAAGATATCAAGTCCTAGAACTGAATTGCACTTGGTTACTCAGATCAATAACAATTTGACCCCTGTATTTCAAAGGTTGTTCGTTTGCTTTGAAGGCCTTCAAATGGATGGAAGGAAGGGTGCAGAAAAGTGATATGTGTTGATGCTTGTTTTTTAAAAAATATTTCTTGGTGGACAATTGATGCGTGCTGTGGGTAGAGATGGCAATGAACAAATGTATCCCATAGCATGGGCGGTTGTTGAAGGAGAGAACAATCTTTCGTGCGAATGGTTTTTTATCATCCTTCGAAAATGCCTTGCCCTATGAGATGGTGATAAAATAACTATAATTTCTGACAAGCACCAGGTTAGAATTGAGTATTGTTTTCTTTATATTTAACTGGATATAGTAAGTTTATTTTATTAAGCGTAAACTACAACAAATATGTAATAAGTGCAGAAACTATAAGTTTAATGTGCTGAGTTAATCTTTAAAGTATTGACAATTTGTAAGTCTGTTTTATTAAGCGTAAACTACAACAAATATGTAATAAGTGCAGAAACTATAAGTTTAATGTCCTAAGTTAATCTTTAAAGTATTAACTTTGTAATGTGTATGATTTCATGGTTTTTAAATTTTTTTTATTAATACATACTTCTGATTTGTCAGGCTGTTATAAATGTTGTTTCAAATCTTCTTCCTCTAGCTGAACATAGACATTGTGCAAGGCATATATTTGCACTATGGCACAAGTCATTCAAAGGGGATGAGATGAAGTTGTTGTTTTGGAAAATTGACAAAGATTACAACATGGAGGCTACAATGATGCATTTGATGAATTGGCTAAAGTAAATGTTGAGTCTGGCACTGCTTTCAAAACGTACATCCCCAAGGTTTTTTGTAGAACATTTATGAAGACTAGCAAACGAGCAGATGCAGTTAATATACATGTTGGAAGATATTAGAGTTGCGTTGATGCAAAGGTTGGTGCTTAAAAGGCAGGGAATGGAGAATGCATGGGGACTCCATAATCTGTCCAAGAATCCAAAGCAGACTTGAATTGAAGAAGAGTAAAGCTGCGTATTGTGATGTTCTGCCTTCAACATTTCATACATTTCAAGTAAATCTCAACATGGATAGCCTTAGTGTGGACTTGGGATTTTGGCCAATCACCCGCTCAAAGTCACGGGTCGACAAAGTAGCCTTCTTAGCACCCATATAAATATTGTGTCGGGAAGAAAAGCTACTAAAAGAAAAGTTTTGTTGGACTCAAGATACTGTGTGCTTGGCTTCTCAATGTATAATGAAAAGGTGTGTGAGCCTGTGAGGAAGTGACAACTCATTGCATTGGAGCTTGAATGGTCCACTTTTATTTACGGACTAGTATTTGTGAGCTTGACACACGAACGAAAAAAACTAAATAAAACTATTCCATAAAACTACTACAACATGTCAACTTCTTGCTGCTTGCTTCTATAAATAAAACACAGACCAACGAATTGATGACTCGGAAGAGTCTTCTCTAAGCTGTCGTTGAGAATTAAAAAAAATCAGCTATATCCGCCTACAAGGATAATACGACGGTAATACTCTGTGTTTACTTTTATTGGCATTTAAAGTACTATTTTATGACGTTGCTCCCATTAATTCTTTATATGGAGTATTAATTTGAATTTGCTCATCATAAATTTTAAATATAATTTGAATCAAACGAATGTTAGTATCTGTTTCATTTCATTTGTTATCGAAGTGTAAAAGTGTGTGTCTTTATTGTCTTTCTTTGAACTCAATGTATGGTGGTATTAGTGTTGATGGAACATTAGTGTTGAATACAATCTATCATTGTTCTCCAGGTGACTTCAACACAAAATTGCTAATTTCAGGATTGTTTTTTGAACTTCAGCAGAAATTGATTTGTGAAAGTGGGTTGTTTGACAAGTTCTTCAATTGGATATATA